TCACGTCCAAAAACTGAATCCGAGAAAAATAGCGATTTGAAAATAGCATTTCGGACAGTTGCGGTTAAAACGCTATTCTTGGCAGTCAGCAACGACGTTCTAGGCGACTGGCGCCTGCGGAAAAACGCGTTTCAAAATGGGTTTACCTCGGATCGGAACTCTGACATCGGATCTGGATTCTTTGCAGCTTAACCTTTCCAAAGACACCAGAACCGCTCTTTCATTCCTTCTAGATCAACGGAAACTAACCTCCAAAGTCAGCTCTGTGAAACTTGAATTGGATATCGGAAAGGTGCTTTAGAAACTACAAAGAGAGATCTATCCAACAATATGAAGATCGTCGACTGGGTCTTTACGGTTCGCTCAAAAAATGACCCGCAAAGTCACTGCTCACGACACATTCCCTTTTCTCCTCTTTGCTTTGATTTTCCGGTTACCGGAACACACGACTGAAATCCCTGGTGGTTGTGGCGGCTAATTCACGTCGGGAAAAGAGCAGAGCTTCGCTAGAATGGGAATCTCAACCTCCCTATATCTTTGACATTCTCTTTAAATAGAGAAAGAGAGCCTAAGGTTAGGGTTTTTGGGAGGAAACGTGGACCATACGAAATGGGCCCTAGGATTTTGGGTTTATTGGGATTAGGCCAAAACCAAATTCCAACCCATCCATTTAACAAAACAAATAAACTAAACTTCCAATTTTTGGTTCACGGGCGTTACACCAAATCTCATCTACGACTATATTTTCAGCCACTCATCATAGTGGCATATTTTAGCCACACTCTGTCTTTCTCATTGTAAAAGGTTTCTTTTCCTATTTTCCGTCTGAAATAGCTTAAACTGATATACTGAACATCACCTATTGCGTTACAAAAAAATTTTTCTCCTGTTTTTCAATTTTTTTCTCGATTTTCTATGATTTAAAAACTGTGATCATTGTGTTGTTGGCTTACATAGTGTGATTGTGTTAGTATAGTAATTGTCGTCAGTAGGTTAATATCGAATCTAAACTTGTACAATACATTGATAAATAAATAAAAATTACAGCTATAAAAAATGAGCTTATTATTAGTTTCAAAAAAAAAAATTTAGCTTATTAATTTAAGCACTAATTTTGTCCGAGAGGAGCTGGCAACCGACAGAGATGCTGGCTGTTCACAGATGGATCTATGGGTAACTATTTATAATCTGCATTTATACCAACTGTATTGTTTAATTATCCCATAAATCTCTCGATTTACTAATAAGATATGCTACCAAATATATACATCTCGTAAAACTCACATAATTTTTCTTTTTCCTTTTGCTTACAAGACGGTTTTCT